AGGCAGGAGACTCGCTTGAGCCCAGGAGTTGGAGGTTGCTGTGAGCGTGATGCCATGGCACTCTACCCAGGGGGATAGCTTGAGGCTCGGTCTCAAAAAAAAATGATAAATTTAAATGATGAATATTTTAAACATTTTTCAGTTCTGTTTTTCTTTCTTTCTTTTTTTCTTTTTTTTTTGAGGCAGAGTCTCACTCTGTCACCCTGGGTAGAGAGCTATGGCGTCAAACTCTTGGGCTCAGGCAATCCTCTTGCTCCAGTTTCCCAAGTAGCTGGGGCTGCAGGGACCCACCACAACACTGGCTATTCTTTCTATTTTTTGCAGAGACAGGGTCTCACTCTTGCTCAAACTGGTCATGACTCCTAAGCTCAAACTATTCACCTGCTATGGCATCTCAGAGTACTAGGATTATAGGTGTTAGCCACTGTACCTGGCCTATATTTTTCTTTTCCTTTCTTTTTTTTTTTTGAGACAGCCTTACTATATCACCCTCAATAGAGTGCAGCGGTGTCACAACTCACAGCAACCTCAAACTCTTGGGCTTAAGTGATTCTCTTGCCTCAGTCCTACAAGTAGCCAGGACTACAGGAGCCTGCCACAATGCCTGGCTATTTTTTTGTTGTAGCTGTCATTGTTGTTTAGTAGGCATGGGCTGGGCCAGGTTCAAACCCACCAGTCCTGGTGTATGTGGCCGGCACCCTAACCACTGTGCTATGGGCACCAAGCCCTGGCCTATCTTTTTTAGTTTTAATTCTCAATACAGTAAATCTTAATATCTATAATTCACATAAACAAAACCTCATTAAAATTAAAAATCTTTAAATTTTAGGAGTCCTGAAACCAAAAAGCTTGACAGCCATAGTCCTAGAAAACTACCACATAGATATATCAGAAGACATATATGTGAATTTGCACTATACATTCCTGAGCAGGAAAAACTGATAAACTATGTATATGCCTCTAATAACTATATAGCAACTTAAAGGAATGAACTAGAGGTACTTGTATCAACATGATCAAATCTCAGAAACAATATTGAATTTAAAAAGCACCTACAGGGCTGTGCCTATGGCTCAGTGAGTAAGGCACCACCCCCACATACATAGAGTGGCGGGTTCAAACCTGACCCTGGCCAAACTGCAACAAAAAATAGCTGGGGCATTGTGGCAGGCGCCTGTAGTCCCAGCTACTCAGGAGGCTGAGGCAAGAGAATCGCCTAAGCCCAAGCAAGAGCTGGAGGTTGCTGTGAGCTGTGACGCCATAGCACTCTACTGAAGGTGACAGAGTAAAACTCTGTCTCCAAAAAAATAAGTTAAATAAATTAAATAAAAAGTACTTGCAGAAGGATACATACAGGATATCATATATATAGTTTTAAATCATACAAAATTATACTAGATATTTCTTAGTGATCATATATATACATAGCAAAATTAAAAAATAACACACAGGAATTATAAAGGCAAAAACATTGTACAGGTAACCTCTGAAGAGGAAGGGACAGGAATCCTATGGAGGAAAAGATACACAGGAGGTTTCAATTATATATGGAATGTTTGTCTCTTAAATAGATAGTAGAAACATGTGTTCACTATACAATTAATTCCCTTTTACTTTTTCTTTGCATAACTGAAATATAGCATAAGTGAAAGGGAAGAAGGGTGGACAGAGATAATAGATGTTAAGAAGAGAGACACCATAGTACCAGATGAAGAACTGCAAAGTAAGGGTGATAGGATTGACTTAGGACTCAAGCCCAGAAAACCGGAAGAATATCAATGTATTCACTCATGTTTAGGAAGACACAATAAAATAACAGTCTGTGAAATGGTAAGGTGTTGTGATTTAGACATATTGAGCTTGAAAAAAAGAAAACTGCCAGGTGATCATAATCTCAGAGAGTTGTGTGTAAATGTAGGGATGGTGATTGAAAGATAAGGACTAGAGATAGAGATTTTGGGACTCACTGAATAAAGACGGAATATTTGAAACTAGATGAGATCACAAAAAAAGATGATGAAGATGAAGTGGGGGGCGGCGCCTGAGGCTCAGTGAGTAGGGCGCCAGCCCCATATACCAAGGGTGGTGGGTTCAAACCTGGCCTTAGCCAAACCACAACAAAAAAATAGCAGGGTGTTGTGGCTGGCACCTGTAGTCCCAGCTACTCGGGAGGCTGAGGCAAGAGAATCACCTAAGCCCAGGAATTGGAGGTTGCTGTGAGCTGTGTGATGCTGCCACGGCACTCTACCGAGGGCGATAAATGAGATTCTGTCTCTAAAAAAAAAAAGAAGAAGATGATGATGTGGGTATGGAGAAGCTCACCCAGCCAGAGAGAAGGAGCTGGGAAAACTCTGACACCTAAAGTAGAGGCAGGGAAGATCAAAGAGGCTTCAAAGAAGATCAAAGAGGGGGTGAGGGGAAGATACTGAGTCCTCAGAAAAATAAGAAAAGGAATCAGGGAAGAGACCTTCTGAAGAGAGATGGTATAAAATGGCTCAAAGAGAATGAGAAATAAGACCAGATTATATTTGTGCAATTTCAGCTCAGACTGAGAATCCCTGAAAGCCTATCAATTCCAGAAAGCGTTTATTGATGAATCCTACCCCTTTCTGATCACACCTCTTTCATTCATCCATTCATTCCAACAAATACTGATTGAGTGGGCACTGAGGATATATTAATAAGCAAAACCAGAGAATGTCCCTGCCTTCATGGTGCTTAGATCACAGTGGGGAAGAAAAATTGTAATCAACTATACACACTCTACACAATGAATGCTACAAAAGAGGGGTATGTGGAGTGTTAAGATTGCATAACAGAAGGATCTGACCAAGTCAGGAGCCACTAAATTGTTAACCGCTCCATCTTTTCAGCAGTGTACACTGTACCTTCCTGACCTGAAATAAGACCCAAAGGGCATACTTTTTCTTTTCTTTCTTTTTTTTTTTTTTTTTTTGAGACAGAGCCTCAAGCTATCCCCCTGGGTGGAGTGCCATGGCATCACAGCTCACAGCAACCTCCAACTCCTGGGCTCAAGCAAGTCTCCTGCCTCAGCCTCCCAAGTAGCTGGGACCACAGGCGCCCACCATAATGCCTGGCTATTTTTTTGGCTGCAGCCATCATTGTTGTTTTTGCAGGCCTGGGCTGGATTCGAACCCGCCACCTTAGGTGTATGTGGCTGGCGCCTTAGCCACTTGAGCCACAGGCACCAAGCCAGGGCATACTTTTTCACACTTAAATTGTCTACTTGCTTTTTTTTTTTTTTTTGAGACAGAGTCTCACTATGTCACCCTCAGTAGAGTGCTGTGATGTCACAGCTCACAGCGACCTCAAACTCTTTGGCCTTAAGTGATTCTCTTGCCTCAGTCTCCCAAATAGCTGGGACTACAGGTGCCTGCCGCAATGCCCGGCTATTTTTTTGTTGTAGTTGTCATACTGTTGTTTAGCAGACCCAGGCCAAGTTCAAACCCATCAGCCCCATTGTATGTGGCCAGCACCCTAACTACTTGAGCTATGGGCACCGAGCCTGTCCATTTGCTTTTGAAATCTTCTCCAAGTACCCAGCATAATGTTCCAAAGTAATGGATATTCAGCACATGCTTACTTATCTACTATATCTCTACAGCTAGATACCTCAGATTTTGTTTTTAAAAAATGTTCTGTTGTATGAAAGAACTATAACAACTTAAAAAAAAAATCTTGCTATGTCTATTAAAGAGTCCAAAAGCAAAGTTAAAGCCTTGAATATATTGGTTTGGTATCCTCTCCCAGTACTCCAAGCAACTACCTGGAGAACGCTTTGGATGGTTCTCAAAGGTAGAGTTAACAAAAGCATGGAAGGACTGATACCAAACATTCTCACTTCTGGAAAAACAACTCAAAGTGTACACTCTGCCAACAGTAAGCCAGTATTATAATGTAATTTTTGCAAATAAAAATAAAACATTCATCATAAGGCATTGATCATGACAAGAAAAACAAGAGAACAGAAGTAATCAAGAAGCAGCCCCATAACTACTTACATCACGAAACTGAACCTTTCCAAGTTCTCCTAGTTCACTGACACAACAATAAGCAGCTTCTGACTGTAGAAAAAGCTGGGCCAGAGTCATCTCCTCACTCCGGAAAAGTTCCCCCATTGTGGCAAAAGGTCCCAGTCAACTGAGTACCTGGATTTCTCTGCTACCTAAGACAAAGAGAAAATGACAAGACTTTGGAAATTAACAAGAGGGCTAAGAGCAAATAACATCCCAGTAAGGCTTCTTCATTTTGCAATTTCTTCCACCCATGCTGACAGGTCTTTGACAACTGTTTTGACATCTTGCTTAGAAAGACAGAGAGGAAAAACTGCAAAGATAGTTACTGAATCTTGTCCCACACAGTGCCAGATGAAATGTCACTTCTTTTTTTTTTTTTTTTTT